TTAGGCAACATGAGGAGGAGACCTTGAAAAGGGAGAAAGCTGTTTTGTGTTTACATTCAGCCTTGGCAGATGATGTGTTTACCAGTATTATGCATATGGAAATAGCTAAGCAAATATGGGATGAACTAAATGAGAGACATGCAAGTGATGAAAGGGTACGGTCCATCAAGCTCTTGACTCTTAAAAGAGAGTTTGAGATGCTAAAAATGAAGGAGAATGAATCAGTCAAGGAGTACACTTCAAAGCTGTCCCATTTGGTGAATCAAATGAGGTTGTATGGTGAAGTTGTGGATGACAGCAAGGTGGTTCAGAAAATGTTGATTAGCCTACCTGACAAATTTGAAGCCAAAGTTGCTGCAATTGAAGAATCATGTGATCTTAAGAAACTAACTGTTTCTGAGATGGTGAGTAAGTTGCATGCTCATGAACAAAGATTTTCTATGAGGATGGATGATATAACTGAAGGTGCATTTCAAGCAAGACATAAGGGGAAACAACCTGTACAAAAAGATCAAAAGAAGCAACAATATAAAAAAAAGAGGTGATAAAAAGGGAAAAGGCAAACAGGATGAGAGTTCAATCGAATCTGCAGCAAGGGACCATTTTCCTCCTTGCACTAAATGTAAAAGGACAAACCACTTGTCTAAAGATTGTTGGTATAAGGGGAAGCCTTATATTCAATGTCATAATTGCAAGAAGTGGGGACATAAAGAAAGGTACTATTGATTTAAGCAGAATCGATCTCACCCACAACCTGCACATTAAGTCAACTTCTCTGATGAGCAATCTGAAGAACACTTATTTATGGCTACCCAAGCATGTAGTTCAGGTTCAAAGAATGTATGGTATGTTGATAGTGGATGCACAAATCACATGGCAAGAGACTCAAGTCTCTTCACCTTTTTAGACAAGGCTATTAGAACCAAAGTCAAGCTTGGAAATGGAGATATTGTACAAGCTAAAGGAAGAGGTACTGTTTCTGTTCACACTAGCAAAGGTCCTAAATTTATTTATGATGTTTTATTAATTCTAGATTTGGATTAGAATTTGCTAAGTATTGCTCAATTAATTAAAAGAGGATATTCTCTTTCTTTCAAAAATAATGGTTGCACCATATTAGATTCAAATGATTCTAAAGTTATTAATGTTCAAATGTGTGATAATAGCTTCCCAATCAAATCAGTTTGAATCCAGTGAAACAATCTGCACTTGTTTCTAAACATGATGATTCCGCACTATGACACAAAAGATATGGTCATTTTAATATGGATGCATTGAAATTTTTGCAAACTCATGATATGGTGAGAGACATGCCTATGATGGGTAGTCTTGATGATTTATGTGATGCTTGTCAATTGGGAAAAATGCATAGAAAGTCTTTTTCAGCAGCAAATGTTACAAGGGCAAAGAGCAAGTTGGAGCTTGTTCACACTGATTTGTGTGGTCCAATGAGCATACCTTCTTTGAGCCAAAACAAGTATTTCACCTTGTTTATTGACGATTTTACAAGAATGACATTGGTGTATTTTTTTTTTATCAAGGAAAGCTCAAACTTTTAATGTTTTTAAAAGGTTTAGAGCTATGGTGGAGTCTTAAAGTGGCTGCAATATTAAAGTGTTGAGATCAAACAACGGGAAGGAGTATACCTCCAATGAATTCAATATATTTTGTGAAGAAATGGGGATTATTCATCAATTGACATCAGCTACACTCCTAAACAGAATGGAGTTTCTGAGAGAAAAAACAGAACGGTTGTAGAATGGCAAGATGCTTGATTGCAAAAAAGAAGCTACCAAAGAGCTTTTGGGCTGAAGCTGTCTATACAGCAGTGTATCTCTTGAATAGACTTCCAACAAGAGTTGTTCAACAGAAAACACCAATTGAAGCATGGATGGGAGTAAAGCCCTCTGCCAAACACTTGAAGTTTTTGGTTCAATATGTTATATTTATGTTGCAACAGCTAAAAGAACCAAATTAGATGATAAAGCTGAAATGGAGATTTTCTTAGGCTATGCTGCACACTCTAAAGGTTATAGAGTGTATAATTTCAAGTCACAACAGATTGTGATCAACAGAGATATTCAATTTGATGAGAATGCATATTGGGATTGAGAAAATAATGAAGTTCAAAGAAGTTTGAAGTTTGACCAGCGGCAAGATACAAATGATGATGAAGATCAGGTTGCTGAATCTGATTCCCCAATTTTGAAAACAAAGTCTTTGGCTGAAATTTATGAAAAATGTAATTTTGTTGTGAATGAGCCTTCTACTTTTGAAGAGGCTTTCATGCAAATAGAATGGAAAGATGAAATGAAGGAGGAGTTGAATATGATAAACAAAAATGGTACTTGGAAACTTACTTCAAGGCTTACGGACAAGCATGTTATTGGTGTGAAGTGGGTGTATAGAACCAAGTTGCATCCTGATGGTTCTGTTCATAAACATAAAGTTAGACTTGTTGTGAAGGGATATTCTCAAATGGCTGGAGTTGATTATGGAGATACATTTGCGCTTGTTGCAAGGCATGAAACAGTTAGATTAATTGTTGCTCTATCAGCTCAATATGGGTGAAAAATCTTTCACTTAGATGTCAAATAAGCTTTCTTAAATGGAGTTTTGGAAGAAGAAATTTATGTTGAGCAGCCTACTGGTTTTATTATTGCAGGTCATGAAGATAAAGTTTATAGGCTTCACAAAGCCTTGTATGGGCTGAAACAAGCTCCAAGAGCTTGGTATAGCAAAATTGATTCACACTTTCTGAAAAATAATTTTAGGAGGAGTCAAAATGAGTCCACTCTTTATGTTAAAGATTGTGGCAATAAGAAGAAAATTGTTATTTCACTTTATGTTGATGATTTGCTAGTTGCTGGTGATGATATTGATGAAATTGACAAATTTAAAAGGAGCATGTTTTAGGTTTTCGAAATGACAAATCTTGGAATGATGAAATATTTTTTAGGAATGGAAGTGCATCAGCTCAATGATGGAATCTTTCTCTCACAAAGAAAGTATGCTACTAATTTGCTCAAAAAATTCAAATTAGAGAGTTGTAATCTTGTTTCAACTCTCCTTGCTATTAATGAAAAGCTTTCAAAGAATGATGGTGATGCAAAGGTTGATGTAACTCAATATAGAAGTTTAGTTGGCAGCCTTCTTTACTTGACTACAACTAGATCAGATTTGATGTTCTCTGCTAGTTTGCTTTCAAGGTTCATGCATTCACCAAGTTTAACACACTTTGGTGTAGGCAAAAGAGTGTTGAGATATTTGAGAGGTACAACTAATTTTGGTATTTGGTACTGCAAAGGAGATGGAAGGCTTAAAGGTTATGTTGATAGTGATTGGACTGGTTCTATTGATGATTCAAAGAGCACAACCGGATTTGTCTTTTCACTTGGAAGCAGGGTGTTTTCATGGAACTCCAAAAAGCAAGATGTAGTTGCTCAATCTTCAGCTGAAGCAGAGTACATTGCTGCAGCAGCTGCTTCAAATCAAGCTATTTGGATTAGAAAGGTATTGGATGAGTTGAATCATGTGCAAGAGGAGCCTATGGAGCTATGGTGTGACAATAATTCAGCCATTGCTATTGCCAAAAATCCAATTCAGCATGGGAGAACCAAGCATATCAATGTCAAATTTCATGCAATAAGAGAAGCTGAGAAGAATGGAGATGTTCAACTGATTTATTGTAGATCTGAGGAGCAAAATGCAGACATTTTTACTAAGGCACTTCCATGTGCCATGTTTAATGAGCAGCGGAACAAGCTTGGAGTGTTCAAGAAAAGTTTTAAGGAGGAGTGTTAAATTTAATGAGCTGTAAAACTTTTTAATTACTATTTACTTTTTTAATTATGTTTACTTGCTGTAATATGTTTGCTTGTGTTAGTAAGTAATGTTATGATTGGTGGTTTTAGTTTGCTTGTATTTTGGGTAGATTTGTACTCTTAGTTAGTGGGTGCACGGCCTTTTTGCTGCAGTGTGTATCAATCAGTATTATGATGGGTTATTTTTCTAATGTATTTTACACTAAAATATTAATGCATGGTTGCAGAACAGAATGGGTCATGCAGCAAAACAAAAATAGCTCTATTCTTCCCTTTCCACTCTTCTCCTTATATTGTTTTATGGTTCTGTTTTATGTTTTATAGTATTTGCTATCTTCATTCAACAGAACTGATATTTACTACATGATGTATTTACATCCTGAAGCAGACGCTAGTTGGCAATTGGCAGCTATATCCTAGCATTGAGCTGCATTATCAATATGAAAGAAAACGTGACATACATGTCTATGGAAATACGGAATACCAATGCATGCTATACTGGCTATTCTTTAAAGGAAGTAAATTATACTCCCTTGAACAACTTTATCCTAGGACCTTGAATAAATATTTATTCTAAAAAATATATATTTTGAATTAAAATTTTGAGCCACAATCATACATTAAGTGCCTTCCCTGCCTAGCCAGGTCCAAAGTAACATTGAACTTGGCATCAAGTTTGAAACGCAACATTATTTCTTTTATGCTTTAAAGGAAAACACAGCAGATTTATTATTATTATTATTATTTAACACCCACTTTCGACATAGATGTCTAAAACTTCATTTTTTCCCCTTCTTCCGATAGCACAGGGGCACAAAGACATACATTGAAATACAATAGGCCGGGCAGCAATAGCAGTAAGGACTACTATCATGTTTGGTGAATACCGCCAAAAGAATTACTGCACTTTATCTCTCTATGACAAAGATAAACTGATATATATCCACTGAAATTTGATTATGATACTGTTGTATATATATTAGAAATCATTAACATTTGGCAAAAGAAAAAGGTGTTTTTGTAAATGTCTCATCTTAACATTCTCATTCAGGTAAAATTTTTCAACTTCTGTTGGATAATACAAGGAGAAAAAAAAAATGGAAAATCTTCCCAATAAAAATATGTTCCTTCTGTACAAATTTGCCTCAACTAATCTATCTGACTCTCCAGCATGATTTAGAACTCATTCAAGCGAGAAGTGAGGTTTAGAAACTCATCCTCATTGCATGGAATTGTGAGAGCCCCCATTGGATGATCATATCCAAATTCTTCTTCTGCTTGACTTAGTAATTCTTGAAATGAAGGTTGGTTCAAGTATGATACTCGAATCACGAACCGCCTCATTTTTTCTCCAACGTAGACTGCAAGATATCCTTTTGGGACTTCAAGTCCCTTGGGAGCTGCTTGGGCAGCAGAAAATGATGCCCGTCTAATAATACTTCGTATGCCGAAACCCATTGTTTTCGTGAAAAGATATCGAAGGACTTGTATTGGGAAGAAATATTTGAATTCTGATTCTTCAGCATGCAAATGACTTGTGTTGCTTGAGAACTTAAGAAATAATGTATATATAATTGTTAACGGCCTCTCCAATCCAACTCAACAATTAATGATATTTGACAGGGCAGTGATGTGGTCTACAAAGAGACAAGGGATCACATGGTATTGCCTTAGAGATCTCTCTCAAGGACTAGGAAATACACAAGAGTGTATACCCCACCTTCTGAGATAATGGCCAACAGATTTACCCCCTTAAAATTAAATAATTAGCGAAGGTGTACTTGATGCTTGTTCATTCATTGAGTATAGCTACATCAATGAAAGACATGCTTTAGACACCTCACATGTTGCTTTAGATAAGATGACAATGTTATTGATACATACATCTACCATGTACCAACCAGTAAACCATTAGCTGGTTGTAATTGATAGCTTTGAAACAGTGTTTGGAGGCAAGCAAAGGACCAACTTTGAATAAATAAATTCCACACAATCCAACTAGACTCTTATAGATGCGTATACTTCGTTTCAAGTGGGTTAATCTGTTGGTCTTGGCTCCAGAAGGTGGGACTTGTATTATCTACTATAACATGTTACGTAGAATGTCTTTTAAGACAACAGCATATGCCCTTGTCTCCTAGTTGGTCCCATGATTCCCATCTGATAGCCTTTCTTGACAAATCATTCTTTCATCTATATATATTCATAGCTGCAAGACTTCAGGAGCAAACTAAATCAATCACTCACATCCTGAGGCATTTGAAACTCATAAACTCACCTTTTTCTAAACAAGCCTCTTTTAGGCGAGTCTCATTTCAGGACATATAACAATGGGTTTTCGTTTACCTGGCATCAGAAGGGCATCATTTGCTGCAAACCAAGCATCTTCAAAAGCTTTGGACGTGCCAAAGGGCTACCTTGCAATTTATGTTGGAGAGAAAATGAAGCGGTTTGTAATCCCCGTATCATACTTGCACCAATCTTCATTTCAAGATTTGTTGAATCAAGCTGAGGAAGAATTTGGATATGACCATCCAATGGGTGGTCTCACAATTCCTTGTGGAGAAGATGTGTTTTTAGATATCATTTCTCGTTTGAATAAGTGTTAACTCGACGAAGATGAGTCTGACGTAGAGATAGATAACTCAACACAATTTTTGTAACACAGTTCTTACCTTGAAGACATTTTTTCTTTTTGTCAGAGAACTTGTGTAGAGCTAGCGTAGAAGTGTTCGTATGAATGAGAAACTTAATTTTGAACATTATCATATATTTCTTTTGTTTTCCCTTCAAATTTCATTCCATTCTGAAAGTCAATGAGCTGAATGTTCAGTTTAGAATCCTTAGATGATCAAAGGAAAATATGCCCTGAAGAAGGAACATAAAATCGATTCTACTCCTATGTTGCAGAAATAGAAAAAGGGTGAAATTAACTATTATGATCTAATGATAATGTTTGGAAAAAAAGAAATCTATTATATGTAAAAGGTTTTATAATATTCTACCTAAAACATTTTTAATTTTTACAGATTTTTCAGCAAAATATATGTATGATTACCATAATTTGTGGTGATTAATTAATCTCTTAATTAAATCAATTGAATCACGAAAATCATGTAAGTTAATTGATATTGCTTAATTGATTAAAGTTTCTTGCATTAAATATTCATATAAATTATATATCAATATATTAATTTCTATTTTTACAAATATTTTGAGCAATAAAAAATGAAAAAAAAATAAGACTAGAGTCAAAGTATAAGAATTCTGATTATTTACAAATATAAATATTTCTATTTTCTATTTATTCGAAGATCATTTTGTTTCAGTATAAGAGTTCTGACTATTTAAAGAAATTTAATTACTTAAATAATTTTGTTGAATCTTTTACTTCAGCAGTAGTTCAGTAATTACTTCAATAATTTAATTAAATAATTTAATCTTAATTTTATTTTTTATAATAGATTACTTCTTATTAGTAATTATAATGTTTAATCTCTTAAAAAATTAATAAATTTAAAAATAACTATATAATATATTTTTATTATTCATTTACAAAATTTAATTTAATGATACTTATGCAGTGTACAGGAATATTATTAGTATTTTATTGCAATCAACCATTTAAATAATACTCTAGCACCTTTTACAAGCCATTTAAACATTTAACAAATTTTGCACAAAAAGAATTTCATCAAATATTTTTTATAAACGTTTTTTAAATTATTGATTAAACATAACATGAATAAATAAATTAACTAGTTAAGATAAATAATCAATAGTTATTGAATAAGATATAGTTAGATAAGAATTACGTTAATTTGTATCATAATATTTTTTGATGTATCTAATTGAGATAAAGTTGCCGTAAAAGAATGTGATCAAATTGTTAACCCATCATGTTACAATTTTATGCATTTAAAATTGCAAGCTTATGTTGGTACCTAGGCTACTGCTAATAATACGTGAGTCATCCTGTGCCCTACTAACACTGATATTTCACTGTCAATTGCCATATAAACACGTGACATGTCCAAAGCGTGACTATACAGAAATATGGTATACCAATCAATGCATGAACAAACATTATATTTTACTTGATCACATTTCCTTATTGCTAGTGGTTGCCCTATGTATGTATACCGTATTGATGTACATACGTATGTATGAAATTAAAATTTTGGGAGCCATGGCCACAATCATACATTAAGTGCCTTCCCTGCCCAATATAGTCATGTCGACAATAACAATGAACATTGGCATCAAGGTTGAAACACATTCCATTTATGGTATCAAGAAAGTCACACAGCAACAGTTAGTACTGTTATAAAGTTTGGTGAATATTTCCAATAGAATTATTTCACTCAATCCTGTTAAAAGAGGATAACCTGGTATATATATATATATCAACAGGAAATGGATATTAATAATATTGTGTATATTATAATTCATGGAGATTTGGTGAAAACAAAAACTGATTTCGGAAATGTCTTGTTAAATTGACATTCTCATAGAATTTTGCAACTTCAGTTTGATTATACAAGAAAAAAGGGAAAATGAAAAATCTTCACTATAAAAGAAAGCTCCTTCTGTACAAATTTGCCTCAACTAATGAATCCAAGTCTCACAGTAGCATGATTTACATTTCATTCAAGCGCGAAAAGTGGTTCAGGAACTCATCCTCGTTGCACGGAATTGTGAGACCACCTGTTGGATGATCGTATCCAAATTTTTCTTCTGCTTGACTTAGTAATTCTTGAAATGATGGTTGGTTCAAGTACGATACTGGAATCACAAACCGCCTCATTTTATCTCCAACATAGACTGCGAGATAGCCTTTTGGTACTTCAACCTCCTTGGAGGCTGCTTGGATTGTTGAGAATGATGCCCGTCTTATAATACTTGCTACGCTGAAACCCATTGTTTTCTGTTGCTCCACACAAAAAATAATATACTGTTGCCAAAGGACTAATAAAAGAAATATTTGAATTTTGATGCTTCTGGATGCAAATGACTTGTGTTGCTTGAGAACCATTGAAGTAGTGTGTATATAGTTGTTAAGGGCAATCCAGTAGACAAAGGATCACGTGGTATTGTCTTTGAGATCACTCTAGAGGATTATATAAAGTCGAATGAGAATGTTTACCCCACCTTCTGAGATAATGGCCAGCAAACTATGGGAACTTAATGTTTGTTCATGCATTGTGCTATACCTAATCCAGTGGTGGACAAGCTTTAGGCATCTCACGTGTTTCTTTAAATAAGATGACAGTGCTATGGATGTATATATCTACCATGTACCAACTAATATCAGAGTGACAGAAAGCAACCAATAAACCTTAAGCAAACAAGATTGGTAGCACTGAAACAGTGTTTGGAGGTAAGAACTAAATCAACATTGAATACAAGATCGGGGGGCACTATGAACTACATTTTCTACAACATCTGTTGGCCCTTGGTCCAAAAGGTGGGATAGTATTATCTTAACAATTATAACATGGTACGTTTATTATTGAGAAAGTCCTCTAAGACAACATCATATGCTCTTGTCTCTCAGTTGGTCCCACGACTACTATCTCTTAGTCCTCCTTCACCAATAATTCAAGGAGCCAATGGTTTCTTACATATCCTTTTATCTATATATATTCATGTCCACAAGCATTTTGAACCAACGGAAATCATTCACATCCTAAAGCATTCAAAATTCAAAAACCTCCAATCCCAAGCTTTTTAGACTGTTATCTTCTCAAGTCTCGGCACATACAATACAACAATGGGTTTTCGTTTACCTAGTATAAGAAGGGCTTCACTTTCTGCTTACCAAGCATCTTCAAAAGCAGTTGACACACCAAAGGGCTATCTTGCAGTGTATGTCGGAGAGAGAATGAAGCGGTTTGTGATTCCCATATCATACTTATACCAACCTTCTTTCCTTGACTTGTTAAGTCAAGCGGAGGAAGAGTTTGGATATGATCATCCCAAGGGTGGTCTTACAATTCCTTGCAGTGAAGATGTCTTCCAACATGTAGTTTATAGATTGCATGAGCTATAAATCTCACACTAGCTAGGAGACTGACCTAGATTAGTATAGACATTTTGTACCATAGGCATCTTCTCAACTTGTAAAGGTCTCCTTTTCTTGAGAAATAGGGGAAAAAAAGATCATTACAATGACAAATTCATTGAGCACGTTCCGTTCATTTTGTGCAATGAATGAATTCAACTATACAAGTGGCTCTTCTATGTTTTCTATTTATTTGTTACAATGCTCACTTCTACCTGTATGAGTAAGTTGCTTGCCGTAAGAAAGGCCATACTTGTTCGTTCAGATAAATTTCAGCAGTATATATATATTACATTAAAATCAAATGGAGATATTTTTCATTGATATAATCTTTTATCTCTTTTCTTCTTCTTCTGTTATGTTTTGCTGAATTTTTTAAGTAAGGATACAATTGAATCTTTATTTGAACCCTACAAAACTTTGTTATATTCAATCTCAATTCAAATTTTGTGATTCAATTGTATTATCCATTTTTGTCTAATACTTCATTAAAAACGTCATTTAAATACATGATTCAAGAAATTCTCACAATTGAAAAATGATAAAATTTTTAAACTGAATTAGGTGACTCAATTCACTGATTACCTAGAGATAGAGATTAAGAATTATATGATCATTGTTAATTCTCATGATGTTGTTATGAATTTACCAAAGAAATTATGATTTTTTTTTTATTGAGAATTTGGAAGTTACTAAGTAAACCTTAACTTTGTAAGTGCATTCGATCATTCATTTGAGTTCTGAATTCTAATTTGAAAATATTTTCTTCAATATAGGATATGAATCAGATGTATTATCTTCGATACAGGGTATGCATCAAGAGGAATCCAATTTCAAAAAAATCTATTTTCTGGAAAAAGAAACTCAATTACCTTACCTGAATTTCAAATATTAATTCATTCTTACACTTTCTATTCATGGTTTAGTTCAAATTCTAGTCTATAAATTGTAGTTGTTGCATAAACATAGAATCACTACTTTGTTTAATTAATAATTTCTTTGTATCGTTAAACTTAGATTTCAATTTTTGAGGACGATAATCTACTCTCATTTTATTTCTTACTATGATACAATATATTTGTTGGTTAATCATCTAACAACTATCATAGTTAGTGGTAGAATGTTCTAGGTTAATATTAATTTAGTAACTTTAAGAGGTATAAATAGTGCATATAATATTGATGAGATTGGTCACCATATTTTAATAATAAATAAAAATAAAAAAATTAATGTAAACCATCTAATATTTTGTAGATCGATTTAGTTCAATTTTTTAATAAGATTCAAATTGAATCAAACTGAATTACATGTTATTTTTATGTGTGATTGGATGACTTTTTAAGTAAAAACTAAATGGAAATGAACTGCAAACACTCCTATTCTAGAGAGAGAGGGAGTGAAACTTGAATGGTTTGACTTTCATGACCACTCTTAATATAGGGTGGAAATACACCTTCTATGCATTTAAATAGTTCAAATGAAACTTACTTCCAAACTAAAGTGACATGAATAAAGGTTATAGATATAAGTGTTTATGAGCTTTAGTTGGTCATAAGTTTATGGAGAAAATATAAAATTTCAGCGTGAGTCTTGTTAGGTAGAGTTAATTTTTTAATATAAAAGAAAATATATGAAACATAATACTTGCAATGTGTCATCTAAAATCATTTCCTATTGAAGAGATAAATATCACATTTAAATACCCACGTGGGGTGAGATCAATGATAACATAATATAATAAGAATTTTATCTCAAACCCTACTATATTCTATGAAATTAACTTAATTTTTAAAGGAAAGTTATATAAAGTAGATTTCAATATTTAATCAGTAAAATATATTGAAAGAAATAAGATAAATCACGTAAGTGAAAACTTTTAATATAATAAATAATTAATATATTTAAATGGTATTAAAATACCCCAGTGAAGATAATTTAGTTAAATAACAAATTACATGGATTTCATTTAATTGAAATAGGATGAAAAAGTTATATATATATATATATATATATATATATATATATATATATATTCGCTTCAAATCTTCAAAATGGTCAGATATTTTTTTAATTTAAAATATGGTACACATTAATGATGAGTATACAATTTTAAATTTATTTCTTTAAAATAGGTAAGCATATATTTTTATAATTTGTAATACTGGCAGATTCTTCTTAAATATATTAACTTTGCTTGTTCAATTTATAACGTCAAACATTTTATGACTTTCAAAATATACTTTATAGATTTTCTAAAGTAAAAATCATCTACAATACATAAAAATGTTAAGTTACGTAAGGTAGTTAAGAAAAATAAAATTTTCATTTGAATTTATATTATTTGTTTATGCAATTACAGTTTATACCATGAATTTTTTTTTGTTTTTATTTTTATGTCAAGCTTTTGGTTAATAACTTTTAACTCGTTATTTCTTACACTTCTATACTTTTTCTTTCATTAATAAAACACTATGAAATAGTAGACGTGTTTAATTCAGGCATATAAATCATTAGAACTTATTTTCATCATTAACTCAAATTAATATATATTAAAACTTATGTATTGATTTTTTTGTTTTATGGTAAACAATTTAATTTTAATTTAGTGTTTAATTTTTACAAAATTTTTATAATTTATACTTAGTCACTGTAAAAATTTTAGTTAGTATATAATTCCTGCTTTTTCTCTCATACTTTGTTTTTAGTCTCTATAATCAATGTAATCTAATCAAAAGTTGACATTTGATAATATTTAACTGGATAATGGAATTAGAGACTAAAAATAAAGTATAAAGAAAAATTAAGAATTGATCCTAATAATTTTTTTTTTATAAAAATCACATTTAAATTATACAATTTATATTAGGATGATGATTAAAAGTTGACACTTGATAATATCTCAATGAATAACATTAATTTGATAATATCTCAATGAATAACATTAATTAAAGAGGCCAAAAATAAAGTATAAAAAAAAGGTAAAAATTATATCATAATAAAAAATTTTATAAAAATTAAATCTAAATTATACAATTTTTATAAGGATGATACAGTTAGTTAAGTCAAACTTTTCATTATTTATACAATAAAAAAAGCTCAATTGCTTTCATCAAAATTTAAAGATTTATTTTTCAATAATGCAATCAATATTCTTTACCATGACTAGATTAAAATCATGAATTTATGCAGAATATTTGAAATTAACATTGAAAGTATTACCCAAACAAAAATAGTGTAAGAAAAATTTTAATTTCACATTTCTATGATCTTATTTTTTTATACAATTATCTTTATCCAAAAAAAAACTAAATTAAAACATTCTTAACAAATAGATTGCCTTAAGTCAAATAATCAAGATATTAAAAAATCATTTGTTTTAATGATCAAAATCTACTATATAAGTGTTACAAAATATCATATTACAACTCTTGAGAAACTTTTATTTTTAAAAGAATTCCTAGTAATCTTGTTGTGCTCATTTTGATTGATGGGAAAAAAAAAAAAAGATAATATAAAGACATAAAAGAATATTTGTGACCAAATAACAGTCCAAATTTTATTGAAATTCTACCATGCATTGCTTTACTAAATTAACTTCCTACAATTAAGAGCATAATAAAAACAAATATTAGAATTCTAAAAGAACCAAAAATCACAAAAATATTATAATTTTTTAAAAACAAATCCTAATTTTCTTCATAATAAGATTTCAAATGCACCCAACATTATTTGAAAGTCACACCGTATAGCAATTTTAAATGTCCTTGTCATTGAATAATTCAATCGTTTTTTTTTTTGTAGAACTTAGCCTTCATTCATGTTCAGATACCTCAGTAATGGTTGAAAGGTTTCTCATGAGGATTGTTGGAATTATTGTTGGAGATGTGTTGTCGTTACTTGAAGAGTCCTTAGGAGAGCTTGATGACTGTTGTGGTGGGTTTGAAGATTGTTGATCAGGATTTGGAGAGTTACCATTATTATCATCATTGTTTTTTCTCATGAAGCAACTAAGAATTTTAAGGGATGATTTTCTTATGCGACTCTGGCAATCTTGCTCTGTAGAATTTGAGACTTGATTAGTTCTTTCCATCAAGTTCTTTTTGCTCCAATTCTGCATTATAGAATTCAATTGTCAACAAATAATAACATTGAAAAGCACAGGTATATACACAACTGAATGTGGATATTTTGATGTGAAACAAATGCAAGAAAAATAATATAAAAACACATTATTATAAGGAAAAACAAAACTAATTATAAAAACATGTTTAAAAGATGAAAAACAATAGCTACAAACTTCTTATTTTAACCAATCAACATATATGAAAAACTAAAGTATTTAGTACTAAAATAAAATAATAATACAAATCTAATTCCAATAAGTGAAGTTTCTTAACGAATCCTTATTAATATGCATGCACATCTCTGTTCCTATGTGTAAGGCTTTTAAATATTTGAAAGATTGTTAGGCTTGTGGCAAAAATACACTCCAGAATGCAAGCAGATGAAAGAAGGTGAAAAATTATGAATGACCTTGCACAATGAAAAATCTCTTTGTACTTGTGCTTGCTTCAATTCTTTTTCTCTTTGTTCGAGTCTATTCACTAGATGAACTTTATAGCACAAGCATACCGCTAAAATCTTTTTAAAATTGTGATGAATCATAAAGAATTGTACACAAAGTTAGTATTAATTAACTTACAATCATTTAACTTTTTCTAACCCAATCAATGAAATTGACTTATTATTTTCAAAGTTTTTTTATTCAAACTTTTAAACAAATCTTAATTAATAATTAATACAAAAATAATGAAAACTTAATTCTATATTTATTTCATTAGTTATATAATATCATGTATGTGGATATATATATATAGAAATATTTTATTAAATATTAGTTTTATTATTAATATTAATGAACATTATTAGTATCAAAACAAAAAAGAAGAAGAAGATTGTTTTAGTTATATTAGAAATGGTAAATATATATATATTGTTTTCTTAGTTTTTCATTTTTAAACAAAATAAAAAATGATTCAACTAACGATATCACTTATGTCATAAGTTAATCAATATAATTGAAGAATTAAACTTATAAAATTTAAATAATAT